TCTGGCTAGGTAACCACTTGTCTGCTGGAGTGAACCACCAAGTCAACAAGGCCAGGATGGTAGTGCCAGCCATGATGATGGGTGCATAGTTGAGCGACTCAGCCGTGACTGGGAAAATATACGGCGAGTACAAGACAGCAACTACCCAACCATTCCAAAATACTGCAATGAACTGAAAAGGTTTGCTGAGACGCCCTAGACTCCATGCTGGCTTGGGGAAGTTCTTTGGTGTCAGAAGGAGGCGACCAAGGCATATGAGACCGTATGCAGCTGCAGAAGGTACGCCGGCGGCAGATACCAGAGAAGTGAAAGCTACAGCTGATGGGAGGATGGTACAAGTGATGATGGCAGAGACTCCCCAGACCACCAAAACAGCGTTGCGAGGCTGGCCAGCTACTACCTTGGAAACCCAGCCAGACCAGGGCAGAACTCCGTCTCTTGCCACGGCAAAGACCAGACGAGAAGCCGCAAGCACAGCGATTGCGGTGTTCTTTTCAACAGTTAGCTTCCCTGTGCTGAAATAGTTGCCATTGAGAAACTTACAAACCAGAGCGCCAGTATACAGACAACGTTCATCACGACATGGCCTCCTTGACCGAGGATCGCGGCATACACTGACACAAAAGGTTGAGGACCACCATAAGAGAAGAGAGTTTGAGCATCGGGCTGCCATGGCGTTATTGAATGGTTCATGCAGTTTTGACGACACGAAACTTACCACGCAGAACAGGAAGAGAATGACGACTGCAAAGCCGCCGAGACCACTGACAACCGTGCTCCAGAAAATACCCCTAGCTGCTGCAACAGACGCATTCTTGGTCTCTTCAGCTACATGGCCAGAGGCATCAAAGCCAATCAAGATACCAGCAGTAGCGAGATACGAAAGACACCAATTCCAGCCCGGCGGGGCCCCAGTACCGTTATAGGTCGTCATGAAAGCGTCGTGTGTTGATCGAAAGCCGAGAGTTTTGCTGGTGGCGATAGGGAGCCAAATCAGATTCAGGACAAAGTCAAGAATGACAACGCTGCTAGATACGGAAAAGATCCACTTGAAGTAGCGAGCTGCTTATATTAGACAAAAGGTATAGATAGATGTTGGTGTTGGGGGTCTTACGAGGGAGTAAATTCCAGATGCAGGCTAGGGCGAGCAGTATTTCTGTCAGGATCCATTGCACAGCTCGGAACTTGACGCTTGAGGAGTCGGAGGGAAAGTCTGTGCCGAACACGACGATTTCCTGAGGATATTAGATCAGCTGAACCGTTTTTCTTTCCACGGGGAAAATACATACCGAAAGCAGGTAGTTTACGGCAGCTTGCGTGTTGCCTTGATACCGCAGAGATTAGAACGTATCGATCCATGCGGGGGTTGTACTCACTGGCGCAAAAGGTTGTCCAAGCAGTGGTAGACCACCAAGCAACGACAAAACCAAACAATCGACCCCATCGGGGACCGCCGGCTTCAGCAGCCCAGAGATAGATGGAACCAGCTAGAGGTAGGGAAGAGCAGATCTCAGCAATTACCGCAGCGGTTATGAATGTAAAGACACATGTGATGATGTAACTCGTCCTTTGAAGCGATCAGCAAAGTTAGTGGGTAAGCAGACGCCCAGTATTCACCAGTATGCCAGATTTCCACCAGCTGCGATACCAGTCGAAAAGGTGACGCGCACGCCACCGATAAAGTAAAGAGCGGCTACAATAGCGTTAGGGTGTTTGTCTCAATCTGTTCGTTCGTAAAATGACTGACCGAAGGTAGTAGCAAAATTGTGGAATTGATTGAAGCTACGTTCTAGGACCTGTCGTTTATCAGCTCTTGATTATACAACGGAAGCCATGCTCTGTCTCGTACAGGTTTGTATCCCAGTTTCTCCTACATCTTCTGCGTCAGCTCTGCTTGTCGGTCTGTTTGAGGTATATTCTATACTACTAACCAAAACCACATTGTCGGCTGTATTGTCGTCGCTGGAGTCGCCTGTTACGTCGCCGCCTGTTTTGACAGGCTCGTCCTCGTTGTTTTCCAATACTGTCGACATTGCGCGGTTTTTTCAGCTCGCTAATTAAAGAAATGTCGCCGCGGGAATAATTATGATTGACAAACGAAAGACGGAGCCCACGGATCAGGACATGAAATTCCGTGGAACCTTATAATTTATACCCTGGCTTACTAAGATAAAAATCATGGATTAGGCGAAGACAGCGGATGCCAAGCACGCCATCGCACTTATAATTGTGTCAGATAGATCTAGACTGTCTTCCCAGTAGAACGGCACCTTATTACCAGGAATCATTTCCGCTAACGGTTCAACTTCCTCTTTAGAACGATCTGACATCCGTAGACCAGATGGCGTGACTTTAATAAGTATTGCTTGATCCCGACCTCAGATATAAGTAGAGAGACTAACCATGACCCTAGTCTAGACTTGACATTGCGAAATACGGAATACCTAGCCATGGCTTTACCGCTATTAGAGATTGCCGGCACGGCTTTTGTCGCAATCTTGATTTACGTACGAATTATTATCAACAGCTGCTGGTTTCATGGGCTGACATGCGTTGTAGAATATCATCTCAATATATACATCGCCCCTGTCCAAGATCCCCAGCGCAGGTTTCGGTGCAACGTTTTCCAGACTATTATGGACATTTCCGCAGGAGTACAAAGGCGCCATCACCCTCACACTACCCGAATTACATAAGAAACTGGGTAAGGAGGTTACTCTGGCAAAGCAATTGGAATAAATTCTGATATAACTAGGCCCTCTGATTCGTATCGGTCCAAACGAAGTCTCGTTTTACTCGCGCGAGACATATGAAACAGTTCACAAGGTCGGAAGCAAATTTAAGAAAGACCCCAGAGTCTATGGACAATTCGTACAAGGCGGTCATGCGGCTCTGTTTTCTATAACGCAAGTTACTACCTATGCGAACAATTGCGAGCGCTTGACTGATATCCAACAGAGATCCGGTAGAGCATTCCAAGCGAAGGAGGATCATGGCACAGCTCTTTTCCCGAAGTAAGGTTCCGCAGCTGGAGAAAGTAATTTCCCATCATGTCATGAGATTTGTCGACAAGATTCGAAATGGCGATTCGATTGTTGATCTAAGTGTCGCTTGTCGGTCTCTCGAAGCAGATATTATGTGTAAGATAAAGTCCCGTGTGGCTTTTATATTTCCTCGTTAATATTAAAACAGCCGATTTTTCCTTTGGTACAACAATCAATGCCCTGGATTCTTGGGCTAGCGGAGAACAGCTGGCCATGGTGGAGAAGAATGACGAAAAGGCAACTTGGATGCCTGTCGTGAGTTTACCTCTGATAAATAACATTCATGATTGATATTAACAATGTCTGCTTCTGTTTAGCTAACTAATTTCCCAATGTTGTGTGAGTTTTGGGAACACGTTGAGCAGAGCCTGTATACTTTGACCGGTTTTAGAACAAAGTATTCTCAAGGCCTGCTTGACTTTCACGATGTATGTCCGACCTTCCAATCCCCCATCATCTACCCATCTCCCATGTTAATCTTTCAAGTGGACTCGAAAATCATGGCAGGTAGCACTCTCCGCAGAGTCAGACTACGGCACATCCGTTAGCTCTCCAAACCTCATACAAACGCTATGCAAGGCCGGGCTACCGGCTGAGACTGCCTTGTCTGAGGCGGGAGAGAACCTCGGCCCAGGGACAGATACGACTTCTGCAACACTAGCCCATATTCTCTGGGCTTTTTCGCATAATCCCACCTTTCAAGACGCTCTGTATCAGGATCTAGCCAGTGTTGACTTTTCAACGGACATGACTACGCTCGAGAATATCCCTCGTCTCCAAGCCTGTGTCAAGGAAGGTATTCGATGGGCTGGTGCTGCAGCGGCCATGCTTCCCAGGATCGTACCTCCCGGAGGTATTGAGCTCCATGATACGTTTATCCCAGAAGGAGTCAGTATTCTCGTGCTTCGCTTTTCCGATGTTGACATGCTAATAAAAAGCTTTGCAGACTGTTCTCACCTCTTCGCCCATCTGGTACCTACATGACGAGAACGCATTTCCAAACCCCAAGCTGTACGATCCATATCGATGGTTATCAAAAGATGGAAAGGATCTGACTGCCGATGTCCTCCGCGATCGTTATTACATACCGTTTTCACGAGGAGCGAATTTATGCTTGGGTGCTCAGTAAGTTTCTATAAAGCCCTAGTCCGATAAGCTTTCTAATATTCATAACTTGTAGTTTCTCATACCTTGAGCTGTATATTTCTGTTTCTCAAATTATCCGCCATTTTCGATTAGAACGGCGCAGCTTATTAAAACCCCATTCTGAAGAAGGTTCCTGGAATTCAACTCTTTTACCGAAACGCAGGGAGTGGGTTGCAGCAGTCCCAGTAGAGAATCTCAAAGTAGTATTACACTCAAGAGTCTAAAATTAGATAGTAGATATATCTTTATTAGAAATAAAAACTTTTCCCGTATTATTGACATCGCTGGTATCGTTCGGCCTGAATTCTAGGTGCTGCTTTAGCCGGACAAATATTGTTCAGGAATGCAAGTCTAATAAATATCTTTAGGGTACCTGAGGTATCTCATTTCCTCTAAGCGAAGATCACCCCACTGATAAGGCACTCAGTTCCATAGTATCTTACAGTCTCTGCCACTAACAACAGCGTGATAACACTGGAGCTAGGGCATTTTCTAAAACCCGTTAGCAATAGCCGATGCCAACCACGTCATCCCATTCATAACCGTTTGATCAGAATTCTAGACTCGACAGAATGAGATCATGTACGGAGCAGCCAATGCCGTGACAGGAAGAGTTTGCCTGACAGTTCAAGATTTATTTATTGGCCAGCTTGACATGCTTTGCGCTACAACGCACAAATTAGGTATTTATAGAGACATCAACGAGTTGAACAACTGTCAGCTATTTTGATCGATTAGCTTGAATGACTTAGTAAACTATAGTGGGCAATTATGGATTGTAAATCTTAGTTACTTTATTGCTTGAGGTCTGATCTTAGCATTGCCAGCTATTTTCCTCCTCGCTACTAACCGATTTTAGCATCGCTGACAAGCTAACTACAAGCATTGAGAGTACCACTGGTTCTGCTCCTTGCAACTATAAGGCGAAGCACAAACAGTAGGTCCAGTCCACGAAGCACCACCACACTGCCCATATCTCGGCACGCTAGGTCCTCCAGAAACAGTCGGCTTGGAAGTAGTCGTCGAGGGAGTAGTACTCGGCTTAGACGTAGCTGTAGCAGTAGCAGTAGCAGTAGGCTTCGTCGTCACAGCTTCTCCATTAGCGGCATTAACAGCAGCAGCATGCTCATACACCAAAGGCTGAGCCTCGTCGTCCTCAAGATAGATCGTGTTGCCATCATCGTGGTTCTTTCCATAGGAGAACTTGCTGGTGCCGAACTGCCAGTACATATCGCTGACTTGAAGATCGAGAGAAGCCTTTTGCCATTTGCTCAGTGTAGCGATGCGAGTGGACTTGTCCGTCCAGCCGTATTCTTCGTGAAGAACTGGCTTCTTAGCTGTGACACCGGCGGCGGCGTGGTCTTTGATCCATTGGACGACCCAGTCGGTTGTCTTGCTCCAGTACTGAGGGTACGAGTGGAAGGTGTTGAAGTCGATGTTGGGAAGCTTAATCTCAGCATCAAAGTCAGTGCCGTCAGCGCCGTTGTAGGTCCAGTCGTCGGACTGTCTGTTGAAGCCGCCTTCACTGCCAGTGGTGACGAGATGGTTTGCGTCGAGGGACTTGATGTATGTGCTCATCTCGCTGACCCAGGAAGTGATGGTAGCGGGGGTGCAGTCGGGTCCACGGGGAAGGTTTCGAGTTCCATCGGCGCCGCAGCGGGGCTCGTTAGCGATCTCCCAGGCGAAGACAGCGGGAGAGTCCTTATATCTAGTCACAACGGCTGAGATGTAGTTCTTGAAGGCCTTCTTGATAGCAGGAAGACGATAGAACTGTGTGACCCATTAGTACGCTTTCTAGACCCAACGCTCTTTTAGAAACTCACATCATCGTGGTACCGACCGCCAAGGTTAACGGTATACACGTCCATACCACCATAATCGGCCCAGTTGTTGGTCAAAGCCAGAATGAGCTTCATGTTAGTGTCTTCAGCGGCCTTGATCACAACATCAAGCTTGCTCAGATCAATCTTGACGCTTCCATCCTTCTCAAAGAACTGCATAACGGTGTTCTCAGCACCAGTGCCGTACTGAGGCAAGCCACCAGATACATAAGTTCTGTTGTTGTCATGGAAGGCCCAGGTGCGAATAACCTTCAGACCAGCGTCTTTTGCAAGTTGAAGACCCAGCTTGACATCTGAGTAGTGGTCGGTTCCCCACTAGTAAGGTCAGTATGTTTGATCCACATCGAGTGGCAGATAACTTACGACATTGAAGGGAAGGTAGTAGGCATTGCTACCAGCGAAGAAAAAGTCCTTTCCGTCAAGTTGGAACTTTGTGCCGTCAGTAGTGACAAATCCAGCTGGGACAGCCAATGCTGGGGCGAAAGCAAAAGCGGCCGCGACAATTGAAGCAAACTTCATCTTGAGATCTGAAGAATGACTGAACTTGATCAATTCTGCTGATCATGATAAATAGCGATTGATCAAATCTTATATATGTGTTACATTCGGCATACCAAATGCACATGCCATTCCCCTCTTCCCCATAGGGTGATTAATGCAGCATACCGGAGGTCAACACCCCGTGATATCCGGATTTGGAACGGCACAGGGCGATCGTCCACAAATGGGTCGGAACACCGCGATAATCGAGCCGTTATGCTTTGGGAAATAGAAATATGTTGCCTTTTCAATTCCTGAGGCTTTGTCACACCATGATTGGCAGTGGCCATTTTGTGGATTAACGAGTCTGTGCCGTTGGGTGACAACCTCAAGGCACTGATCTTGCATGATCAGAAGAGATTCACATATACCCCCAATATAGTCCACCAGTTGGAGCGATGCAACCTTACTGCATGCTGAACCTGCACGATCAATGACAATGCATTAACCCTAATCTAGAGGTTTGCCTGCCTCCGTGATACCGAATGCTATATAGTCAAGGCCAAAGAAGCTTAATATCACTCACGTATGATATCATCGTGGGTTATTCTCTCAGCACTGGCCCTCCAAAAGCTGTTCTAAAAATCCGAGGACATCCGTGCTCTGCGCGTATTCGCGTGGAGTACCTATTTAGGCAGGCAAACTACGTACTGACGACAGCATATACGACAAGGTGTTGTCTAATCCGCACTCCTCCATCTGAACGTCACTGGTTCCAAAGGATTATAATCGCCTTGCCCTTCATATCCTTCAAAGCCCATCCAAGGTGCATAATAAGTAACACCATAATCATCCGTACTCTCCTCCGTGTAGAAGTTGCGAAAAACGCCAGTATCCGCTTGACAATCCCAAGCACCATTGTCTCTAGGAGGGACGGTGTAGTATCTACAGTGGCCAGCGGGAATTGAGCAAGAGAGCTCCCCGCCACTTTTGAGGTCGCATGCAATAGGCGCGCCGAAGTGTGTATCTGACGCCGAGCAATCAATGAACCAGCCTGGGTTAGGTACTGTACCCGAGGCCCAGCGGATGCAGACGAGGGGGAAATTGGGGTTGTATGGGTCGGCGCGGCGGAGATAGCCTGTGCCTTGTTCAAGGACGAGGGCGGCGGGTTCCCAGGCTGAGCCGGAAGAGAATTGGAGATAGAAATAGTTTTCCTTCTGCCCCATCACTATACCATCTGCCGGTCCGCCTTCGGCAATGATGTTGAAAGTTGTGACTGCGGCTTCTTCCGAGGTCGTTGTTGTAGGTACGAGCATTGTAGTCTCTGTTGTGTCGAGTGATGTTATGGAGGTCGTAGTGTCAGATTCGGTGGATGTTAAAACGAATGAAACATCGGTGGTAGAAGTCTCAGTGGTCTCTGTTTGAGTTGTGCTGGCTGTCTCTGTGGAGGCGACTCCAGACACTGTCGCCAGAGTTGAAGTTGTCACGCCCACATCGCTCGATCGGGAAGCTAAAGAAGCTTGTTAGATAGTGTAGTTGACCCATGTGCTCATTTAACTTACTAGAACTGGGTTTGCAAGGGCCTGCTATAGCTACTGGGAGCCCAAAGGCCAGTAAAAGAATTGAGTTGGAACGCATAATGAGAGACTGGCTAAAAAAGTTTGGCTTGACAGCGTTGAAGAAAAAGGCAAGGAAAGAAGAGCGTAGAAAATGCCCGGGTGGCGGCTGTCAGAAGTAGGATTTAAAATGAGACCCTGACAGTTGGCCCACATGAAAAATCGATAGTGTTGAAGCTATCGACACTGCCAAGATGTTCTAGAGCTGTTACTTGCTAGAGTCCGTTGGTCACAAACAGGGGCAGGCAAGCCACTAATTTAAGTATCGCGGAAATAGCGGCTTTAGCGATAGAACAACTTCTTGAGCATGGAAAGGAACAGTTGAGTGTAAAGTATGTTTTGTAATGACTTTAATAGTAGGTAGGTATTAAGTTTTAAGTACCAGTTCAATTCCATAGGGGTTCAAGTTGCAGAGATAGAGAGGCTACTAATTGCTTCTGGATTGCTAGTGAACATGAATCAAGATTTCGCTTTAATTCTCATCCAATCATCGGTGAGATGGCCGAGTTGGTTATGGCGCCAGGTTAAGGTTAACCTTAACACCAATTTCCTGGTGGAGCAATCCTCCTGGGTTCGAGTCCCAGTCTCATCAGATTCTCTTTTTGCGTTTTTATTAATCAAGTCTAGCTACCAGCATAGCTATTCCCCTTTTTTTCCTGTTGTCAGCCACAATGATTGAATCATCTTCACTCAGTACGGTCAGGCCGATTGAGCCAGCAATAGCTTAAAGGTCGGTTGTTGTTATTGTAGCTATAAGATGAGACTATCTATTAAAGATCATATGCACGCATGATCTTGACAAGCTATGCAGCTGTAGCTGCCCCAGTCGTTTTCTTGTTCGCCTTGACGTTCTTCCACTCAAACCCAAAGGACGTGATCAGAGCGAAACATCCCATGCCCAAGCCTAGATACCAGATCGATGTCATCGAATCGTTGTAAGCATTCAACACCATGTCGACCTTGTCAGAAGGCACAAGATTCCAAAGATTTGTTGCGCCACTGTTCGCAAGCGTATTGACGTCAACCCCAGGAACATACTTGGCAATTCTGCTCTCGAGTTGTCCTTCGAGTAGAGTCTGAGACACGGTCACGAAAACTGTTCCACCGAGGAAAATTAGGAAGTTGAGGATGGAGAGGCCGATTGGGCTGTCGCTTTCCGAGAGGACGGTCTGAATAGCGATGGCGGGTTGTTGAAGCGTCAAACCCATACCTGCTCCGGTGATAATCTGCAGTCGTCGGTCAGCAATGCCAAGCGTCATGTGGACTAAACATACCTGATAGCCAATCCATTTGGCCTTGCTAACGTCTGCCGTCCAGGTACTTATTAACGCCGATCCAACAATGAGGATCGCACATCCAGCGATAGCAAATGGCGTATAGTATCCAATCTTGCTGACCAAAACACCACCGAGAATAACGCAAAACACATTGCTGAGCAGTAGTGGTATCAGGGCTATACCTGAATCTTGTGGCGACTTGCCCTTGACAACTTGGAACCAAACAGGCAGGTAAAACGAGTAAATGACCAGTACAGAACCAATAGCCAGCGCGTTCAGGCAGGCGAAGAATGTGGTTCGTTGGAACAGAATTCGCGGAGGCACTGTTGCTTTTTCTTTCCTCCGAGCTTGATAGCCTGCGAAGATGAGGAACAAAACGCCAAAGACGACAAAGAGAGCGATGACGCGTCCGCTTGTCCACTGCTGATTCTCCTTGCCGAACTCGAGCGCGAAGAGAAGGCTGACGACTGATCCAGCAACCATAAGGAAACCCAATGGATCAAGGTCAAGGAATCTTTGACGCCATGACTTGGGTGGCTCGCTGGGCGGAGGTCTGTTTGGAGCCAAAATGAACAGAAGGATGAGTGAGAGCCCTCCGATGGGACGTTGATCCAGAAGCACCAACGCCAAGTGACTGAGGTAAGATAGCCCCCAAGAATCGGCCCCAGAATCGATGAGATCCCAAAGGCAGAGCCCAGTGATCCAAGATACTTCGGCCTTTCCTCAAGAGGAAATAGCAGCGTGATGTAGATGAACACCCCAGAGCCAATACCCGCGCCTCCAATGCCAGTGATGGCTCGACCAACGATCAACGCATTCGAGTTCGGTGCAGCAGCACAAACGATAGACCCAATTTCGAATATGGCGGTTAAGATAAATAGGACCCATTTGGTGGAGTAGTATTTGAAGACAAGACCAAACGAGAGCTGGAAGACGCAGAGGGGGAGGAGGAAGGCTGATTCGTACCAGGCGATATCGCCGAAGCTGTCGAACTCGGCCGAAATTGTAGGGATAGCTGTGCCGATAATTGTGCGGTCCTGGGAAGTGTTAGTATGTGGACAAAGCGAGTAGAGGGTGTCGTACTAGTGCGACGAGGAAGAATACGAGGAAGAGAGCTAGCATTGTTGGTAGGACGATTTTTTTTGGTGGGTATGTCTTTTCAGTATCAGCGTCCTCGGAAGGTGTCTTTTCAATGTCGGAGTTTGACCTGCTGGGTGGCGTCTCATCTCTTGTATCTTTGTCGTCCATCATGGCAGCTCTTGTTGAGTAGCGAGATAGGTGCTGCGATGTCTAGTGTTTTGTTGAATAAGGTATTGGTCAGGGACCTTGAACTGTCTGTAACAGTGAATAAGAAGCTTGGTTGGGATACTATTCTGTACTGAGATCAGATAAAAAGTAGTATAGCGAGCATCAGCATGTTCTTAAATGAAGCAAGAATTACTGTTGACATTCCAAGTCAATTACATATCTCCCTGCCAGATCGTCAAGCATCATGCCAATCAACCAATCAGACATCACTCTCAAGATCTCGGTCTCGGTACCGAGCCCGAGCTAGCCAATCTCAGCACCGAAATACCTCGCGGGGTCGCCCGAGCTTTTAATTACACAACGTCATGGATTGCGACACGACCGATCATCAACCCTCACTACCGCCACGAAGATCACAGTGCAGTATCTCCCAAAATGAGAAGTCAAGCCTGTGAACCATGTGCAAAGCGCAAAGTCAAATGCGACAGGGCAGAACCGCCGTGTTCTAATTGCAAGCGTCGCAAGGGTGATGTTTGCACTTACCCTGAAGTCTCACCTTTTGAGAGGATAAGAAAATTGGAGGAAGCGGTGAGAGCGCTGGGTGGTGATCCGTTATCTGATGCGCCTGGGAAGTTTAGGGGACAAAGTGTGAAGAATAGTCCGAGGGAGGGAAGTAATGCTGAGACACCGATTATTGTGCAGGAGGAGGGGAAATCTGTATATCATGAGTCGTAAGTCAGATCACACATGTACACGAAATAATTGATGAGGCTGATTTTAATATTCTCAGAGAGGGATGGCATACCTGGATCGATGTTTCGCGTCTCTACAAAGGCTCCAAGCCAAAGTTCAACGCCTCTGACCCTCGAGGTTCAGCCTTATCACCCGGCAAACATCTCCCCCACGCGTTCCACGGCTCGCCATGGCGAGACAACACTATCCTGTCAGAAAAACTCGACTTTTGTCCGATAGCCCAAGAAGAAGCTCTCAAGCTCTGGGACTTCTTCATGGAGCGAGTCGAACCTATTGTCAAGATCAGTTTCAGCTGGACGCTTGCCCATCTCAGAGCCGCTCTATCGGATGCCGAGAAGTGGAGGAGGCTTGATAATGGTGACCATGTGCTGATATTGTCAACTTGTTTGTTCGGCGCTACGAGTTTGACAAACCAAGAGTGTTTAGATCTGTTCGGTCGCACAAAAGCGTCTTTGACGAATGAATGTCGCGTTCAATGTGACATGGCGTTCTCAAGGATAAGTCTGCTTGCTATTGATAGCATCTCAACCTTGAAAGCCATGTGCCTGTATATCGTCAGTTACCCGTCTCAAAGCCCACTGAGGGCCAGCTAACATGTTTACAGAAAGCGAACGTGGACGCTTTGACATCGCGCAGCATGTGGACTTTAATGGGTCTCATCTCCCGAAGCGCAGAGCAACTCGGCATGCACCGCGACGGCACAGTACTAGGCCTCTCGCCCATCGAAACAGAAGAGCGCCGTCGACTCTGGTGGCAGCTGCAACACCTCGATCTCATTCTGTCGCTAAAAAATAACGTTACTCCCTTGTCTTTTGGAGCAGGCTGGGATGTAAGTCTTCCTCTCAATATTGAAGACGACGATCTCAACCCAAATTCCACAACACCACCAAAAGACCGTATTGGTCTGACGAGTTTCTCGTATACACTCTTTACATATTGGATCCTAGAGAGACAACGCGGCTTCCGATTGAAACAAGCGAGCCAGGCAACGGCGGGTGATAAATCGCTTCTTGGCTGTTTAGCAGATTCTATGATTGATGACCTCGAGGCGGGGCTCAACGAAAACTTTCTGCAGTACTGTGATCCTATCAACCCGTTGCATACTATCTTGCAGATCACCGCGCGTGCTGTTGTCAACGTCTTACGGTTGAGAAAGCTTCATGAAGCTCGTATGCGATCGCAGAACAGTGATGATCGATGCCATATGGAGCACTTCAATGCTTGTATGCAAGGGATGCGGTATATCGTCGTGTCTCACTCGAACATTCAGTTGAAGGCGTTTATCTGGCTTGTGGAGAGTTCATTTCTCTGGTACGCGTGTGAGTAACAGTTCTCCGTCCGGCTTAGTGGTATCACGCTAATAAACACGTAGTCGTTGGAATATTGGTCGACATGTCAAACTTGAAAGACGTCACCCTTATAAAATCAGCCTGGACGCTACTCTCTCAGCTCTACGCTGTGGCAGACCATATATCTGACCTTGAAGACGACAGGAGAAAGTCTCATGCTGCAAGATCAGTAGTTGCAACGTGGTACGAGTGCAGCCAGAAACCAGGTCTGGCTGGTATGCAGAAGCCAGGGTTTGTATCGAAGCTTGAGAAGGACTTGGCAGACTTGGAAAGCAAGATAAATGAAGACAATGGAGGCCAAGTCAGTGTCGTACAGGAGGTCCGGCAAACCCAACCGGTAGAGACCGAACTACAGCCGTTTGGGTTCGAGTTTGCGGATATTGACTGGGCGTTTTGGGATAGTATTAACTGAACCGACCCTTGCTGCTTGTATACTACTTGCAAAGTTTGAGGTCAGAGATTCAAGATGCGATTGGAGTGAAAAGGAAATCACATAAGTCCGAAGAGTGGGTATAAGCAGAATAACAGTGTCTATTCAGAGAACCATATACCAGATTTCACATCACCCGTGGGTCTAGTAAGAAAGGTAGGAATACAAGAGAATGGGCGTGAAGTATTATTGTGTTGAAATCGGCCACGTTACTTTTGCGAATCCTATAGAGCCGGACGCCGAAAGCCTAACTCAACGCCACGGCCCTATCACATAAAGCTTCATTTCAGAGAGGCCGAATGCCGCTATATGAATGACAACTCGAAACCTTCAAGGTTCAGTCTCGTATTCAAGCCACCAGTTTGTCCAAACCCCCCCTTCTCCTCATGAACCTTCGAATAAGGGTCTCAAAGTCAGAACCAATGCGTCCTTCTCCCTCTGAGTCATGATTTCATTCCCGGGTTCGATGCTTGCTTGCCCGCCGACGAGACGACGCCGACCCGCGGGCACCATTTTAAACGGCCCATACGGGAAAGACTCAGAAGAATTCTTCTTTTGAGCAGCTTGGGCCTTAGCAGCCTTTTTTCGTTCTTCCTTCTGCTTCCGGTGCTGTTCTCTGAGGTACTTCTCATTGTTGTCATATTCCCGAATACGTTCGTGCAGACGTTCCCGACGTCTTGCTCCCATTGCGTCGAGAATCTCTCGCCTCTCGACCTTTCCTGCTCGCCGGAAAGTGACTTCGTCCAGCTTGTTTCGTATCTCCGTGTCATCGGAGCTCGTGAGACAGATTATCGCGCCCCTGATGCGGTCAAACATGTTGAGCTTTTGTGGAGTTGGTAGACTTGGTGTTCGGTAGTAAAGAGGCTCAGGTATGGGGCCACGGTGGTATTTTCTTGCATACATTGTTCCAGAACTAAAAGTGTTGTACCAATGCTACACGTGTTTTGTGTGTACATGAATAGAGAAATGAAATCAACGAGATATCAGCGATGTCGACAGCCGGGGATGAGAATGTTGGTAAAGAATTGAGGGGAGGACCGGGGGTTTATATGCTTAAGCCTGCTACATCCCCTCAATTCACACTCTGGGGCTGTAACCAAAGCAAAACTCAATTTCCTGGTGCGAAGTCTTGAATCATTACCAAAAGGGTTACTACTTGTTATCAGGCCGAAAACCAAGGGGCCACATGCTGCTCCAGCGATGAACCTTCTTTGCGAGGAGGCCGAGCTTGACCGGTAGTGATGACTTGGAGGCTGCAGCCCCAAAATTCATGTTCAAGCCACTGCTTCGAATTGGCTTACGCAATGAAATGTGCCTTCTCTCACACTACTGCCGATGGAACAGAATGGACAACGGAGGCCACATCCAGCGTTGCAAACCTTGACTACGATGAAAGTAACGCCGGTGGCCGGTGGGTTAGTACCGGGGGAGTCTCTAGTGGTGCAGTATGGTGAAATTATTCCGAGCCATTTGTGAACTGAGTGCCCATTGGGGAAGAGTGGAAAGGAAGTTGGATAAAGCCATCGGCCCTACGAAAGATACACATGGCGTGACCAGTGCTAGCCCTGAACTCGTCTAATTTCGCTCGCCGTCTCGTTTTTCCACGGAGGCTCCCACGGCGATATATTACGGAACCTATTTGGCTTATGCATTATACACCCAATCAGCTTTGTTGTCAATGCTTCTGGCTTATACGCCACAGGCCCCCGTGGGTGTCCGCGTCAGATATTGGATTAAATCTTAGTGCCCTGTATTATTTTCGCAATCGTATGATTTTGGAGTAAGGCTTGGACCACTTATACCTAAAAACGAATTACAATTACATTAAATTCCAGCTTTCTAAAGGTCTGAACTGTAGCTCATCGTTCGTATTCTTTTGTCATCCTCTTTTTACTTGCGCAAAGACTCCATCTCCACACTTCCCACGGTCTCAGCGCACACATCTCGCCAATGGCGAATCCCAAGATAAAGAAAGATCAGAAGAGTGATGTACTCCGCAAGCAAACACATCAAAGCAAACGCTACAGCAGATCCCACCAGTGAGTTCCAGATGGTAGTGACATTGTCAATGGTGAAAGCACAAAGGAGACCATAGACTGTTCGGAGGACAAGAGTCGGAATACTTGCTAAAGTAAGTCGTATAAACTACCTCCTGTCAGTATACTTGTCTATAGGTATTGCGGAATAGGTGCGCGTACTATGTGTTTCTCGGGAGCGATCCGATGCTTTTGTGTGTAGAGGTGAAGTAACTCGACTGTCATCAAACCAATGACAGCAGCAAGAGTGACATAGCCAGCTTGTGTCAGGTGTCTTGAGAGGTGTATATTGGTTCCACTGAAAGCTCCGGCCACACAGAGAAGAACAATGGCAGCGATGAATGCAATGCGAATGATCTTGATTAGGAAGAAAGCGCGCTTATTCTCATCAAGACTCGATTTCATGCTGCAGAATTAGTATATACCTCGTTAAGAAGGAATGTTTGCTCACATCAATCGGATGAACCCAACCATGGAGATCATCAGCGGAATGAGGCCAACATTGAGTAGCACTGTAGTTGCGATGATAAGTCCGATACTAGTTGGCTCGGATTGACGAAGGATGGTCAAGATACCGCCGGCAAGACGAGCTAAAACGACCAATTGTCAGCAGAGTCTTTACTTTAGACAGGAAGGCCTAGTGACTTACCCAAAGAGAACGTGACAAGAGGATAAGAGGCGAGACGAAGTCCATGCTTCCAGTTCCGGATAAGAACGAATACCGCGATGGGCAAGACAAGTGCGTAGAACACGACTTGGGCGATGCCAACAGAAGTATGTGGATTGATCATGATGGAAGATATGGTGAAATCAAGTTGAAATGTTACAAGAAATATCAGCTCATCATACGGGATGAATACTCTACCTTTATAGTCATTTTCGCACGGGCTCTGAGTCGTATGGCATTTTCGCATAGTCATCAAGACTCGCGGCATGATACTCAAAAAGTGATAGCGCTATCACTGCCGGGAATCGGCATCTCGACGAAACTCAGCCGCATCGTGGGACCCATTTCTCGCGCAATGATCCCGAAGATGGCTTAGCCTTGGCGTGAACATCACTCTTCACACATCGCCATTGGCTGGGCTTTAGCTTCTAGCTTGATCCACTATTGAGGACTCCATCACGACAATCATTCCAGGGCGATTGAACTCAGACGACGCACATCTTGATAATCTCGGCAAGGTCACAATTCCAGGGGTTTCCTACTGATTTCAGCTGCGAAGAAACTGGCCAGGATGGTAGGAGTGGCAGGGCGCTCTAAAGCATGTCATACGTGCAGACAGAGGAGGATCAGGGTAAGTCGACCCACCATCCATGAGATCTACATATATCATGCGCCCTCCGATTGACAGACCTGGAGCTGACTGGATAATCTTCTCATAGTGTGGCGCTGAGAGGCCAAGTTGCAGTAACTGTCTCAAGTCCGGCCGTTCCTGCGCAGGCTATCAGAGAACACAAGTCTTCGTATCATCAAACTACTCGCAATCTAGTGGTGGGCAAGCAGCCACGTTAGCTGCACCTTCATCTCTGTCGCGACGCAAACAACAAAAACACATGAGTCGACAGATTGCGATAGTATCATTGCCGCAAGCGATATCGGCACGTAACACTACGAGAGATCAGTTCTTGGCAAACTTCATCGACCGTCAACTCCCATCGTGTATTCTCACCTCAGGTCATCTGAACGATCATCGCAGATGGCTCCTACGCCTACCCGACATAGCGTCACTGACTCCAGCCACGGAATACGCCATCTTAGCACTAAGTACCGCAGTCTTAGAGCAAGATGGCGAGCTGGGTCACGGAAGAGGTCAAGGCCTAAAGCTCTACACCAGAGGGTTATACGAGCTACAAAGAGCCATCGACGATCCAAAATCGAGACTGGATGATCAGACTATGGCAGCTTGTGTCTTACTAGGCATGTTCGAGTTCTCAGAATGTCCAGGGAAAACTGTCAGTGCATACATGCGACACTATCAGGGAGCCATGGCACTCTTGCAGCTTCGTGGGCCCGAGCAGCACATCGGCGGCCTGGCGCATGATGTGTTCCAAGTGCTGAGAATGCATACTGTAAGTCAGCTCATGTCACGGTCGTACAAATATTGACTTCAAGTAGGCATTCCAAGCTCTGAGCCAGAACTCCGGGAGCCAATTAGCCAAGTCAGCATGGATGAAAGGGCCATGGATGTCGAAGTCGAAGACTATGTACGACCTACTTCTCGATATCTTCCTTCAGGTTCCGGAACCTCTATCCAGAGCGAGAGCGGTTATAGTTTCACAGCCCTCTCAATCTTCCCTAACTGCCGGCCTAAAAGCGTTGTCTGCGCTGCTAGATCTGGATGAAGAACTCACAGAATGGTTTGAGTCATACCAAGACACGTACCCGACGGTTTACTGGCCAGAGTTGTCAATAGCCAGTAGCTCAACAGACAGTGAAGAGCTGGGAAGACTTTACCCAGTGTCATTTCAGTTCCCATCGTACCATGTAGCGGAGACAATGATACTTTACTGGACGGTGCAGATCTTAATACATGCCAGTACCTGCTCCCTCTACACCAGGTTGATATCCAGCGAGATGAAGAACGGCGCAAGATTTGAAGATGAAGGTCTGTCAGCTAAGGATATTGATCGCGTGTCTCTTGCCCACATATATCATAAAATCGAGATATCAGACTTTGTGTTATGGCCAGAGACATCAGCACGCTACATCTGCCAGTCAGTGGAGTATTTCTTCCGAGAGGAATTTCGTCGCATGGGCGCTGGAGTCATTCTATCACCATTGTTGGTAGTCAAAGCTTGCCTATCAAGATCGGCACGGGACTTTTCTCGAGAGACTGCGTGGATCGACGAGGCAATTGGGCGCGTTCAGGGCAACGGAGCGGAATTAGCGGCTTGTGTTTAACTAACGATGTAATTAGACATAGTCCTCGCATATCGCTCTCTCAAGAATCACTGTCATCCTCCTCATCCTCCGGTTCCCATTGACCCATACTGTACAACAGAGCCTTGTTTTCTCCAAGAGGCATCTCTCCGTAAAAGTGAGCTTCCATACCATAATTCAGATCTTCCCGGTGTTCAAGACTCATATCACGCTCATGTCTCTTTGTAGCAATGCCAGCGTCCTTACAGATGACCCCGCTGTAAGAAACGTCACCCTCCATGTGGAGTTCATCAAGATCAACCCTAAGGCCCTTGGGAGTGTCGCCTGATACATTGGGGTGTTCGCGTATCGCACTAAAGACAAAGCGCCAGTCGAAGTCGGCTGGTCCTCGGCAGACCTTACCAGATACCTCGAGATGCTGCAGACTCTTCAGGTGGAGAAGCCAGTGTGCAAGCGCCTGGGGAAAATGGTTTCCCTTTTGCGTCAGATGTGTAAGCTCCGGGAACTCATGGCTGGGCTTTCGAATTGGCCAGCAGAGAACACCTTTCCCGACATGATCAATACCATAAGCGAAGTGCTGTATACTAGAATGACACTTGTCCAGCAGATCGTGACAAAAGTCGCCGGCCTTGATCTTCATCCTCTCAGCATGCGAGTTGGACATAGCCCAAAGGTGTCGCTCAACGAGACCGTTCTCACCAGAGGGGATCTCAGGAGAAATGTGGAGTACTTTGAGCTTGCTGAAGTTAAGGTCTTCCCATCCGGGGATGTCTTTGCACTCGAGATCACCAGTCATGGACACCTGGATGTTGAGATTTGGGATAGCAACGCCCGACGCTGCCAGGCATGTGAAGACCATGGCGATAAGTTTATCACCTGCGACGGCTGTAGCGTGCTTACAATGATACTCGATAGTAGGTTCGGAGTTCTCATCGCGGAGCTCAAAATGGGCAAATCTGTCTTCTTGATGGTCATGTCGAGGAAGCTGCCACGGCATACCGATGTACTCCTCGTCGAGCGTGTCAAGATACTTGACCTGGCGGATCTTTTCACAATCATAGCTTAGAAGCTTCAACTTCTTAAGACGGTCTCCTAAAGTCTTTAGAATCTCTGTCCAAGCTTTCTTAAGCTCACTCTCTGGATCCTCAAGTAGTGCCTGCGTATCTCGAGCGTCGTTCATGTATGCATCATACGCAGACTTCAGCCCTTCCGGCCAAAAGAGCACGGACGATTCCTGCGAACTGCGAAGGATCTTTTCATACGCCTTGTAAGGAAGGGCCCAGCTCGGTGGTGTTGTGAACGTGATAGAATGGACATGCTGGGCGACGCGCGAGAAGTCACCGCGCTGGAGACTGGTGAGACCAGCACGAGTGGGCTCGAGACAGATGTTACTGAAGAGAATGCTATTCAAGTCGACGGAATCTGCGAATGTTCTGTGCGCCAGTCTCAGAGACTTGAGGTTATCATGAGTCTCTTTCTCGACCTTGATGTTTCTGGATAACAAAGTTAGTAGAGAACTGAATAAACATGTACTCTACATACGGGTACTCAGTGCTAAAAGGAACACTGATAAACCGTAGTTCTTGAATGATCTCGGCGAGAATTTTAGCAGGCAAGGTGAGCAAAATGCTCTCATTCTGTCGCAATTGAGAAGACATTGTGATCGTGAAACAGAGGTGGGTGAAGTTTAAGTTTGGCAGCAGACAAACGGCAGAGCATGTCATATTAACAGAAAGATAGAGCCAACAGAGAAGCTGAGGATATCTGAATACCGAGATTAGACCCTCTCCTATGGTAACGCTGATTGGGTATTTGGTGGGAATGGCCCGATGCTGCCTACAGAAGGACCCGCTACAACTGAAAGACCCGTCTGTTCTCACGGGTCAACCAACGACTCTCGGAGACTGCCAGATTTGATCGAGTGGATAGCAGGTAATTCAAATGAAGACGGAGACGCAAACAGCCATAAGTGAGACCAGAATTCAAACCAACCGATGTTATTCCTGAAGGAGATTGTAATTAATATGGATAGCCGAGCGGGCACCACTGTCTTTCATACAGTCACCAGTAAGGGACAAACGACTGCAATGCCTATTAAAAAAACCTGGCTTCTGGAAAAAATACTTTACAAACTGGCAACTACATAGCAACACCCGTGCCAGTTGGTCCACTTTGACAGATGTTGTCAAACGCTCTCTCTGAGATAAGTTGGAAGCCATATCAAGTCTCTTCCAAGTTGCGAAAACTTCTCCATGACACAGATAATTGCGCAAGTTATCCAGAATTGACATACAATTACTGAAAAGCCACCAGTACAACAAAGCAGAGTTGGCATCAAGAAAGCAGAACTAAGCAAAATGTAAATGTATACAAGGTCTATACTGAGCTCCCATGAGCACGTCAACCGTCTAGTAAAGAGCTCTTAATCTTCCTCGCCATTCCCTGTAGCAAAGTGTCCTGAGCGAGCGTTCAAGATCAGCACCCACCACCATTGGGCAATTCTGGCGGTCTGCTTTAAAGTCGAGATATCGCATATATAAACCCGTGACGTATTCTTCTTGTGCAACATCATCCATGTTTTGGATGTTCAGTAGCCAGAGACAGCCCAGCGAGGAAAGATAAGCTGCGAATTGGAGTCGGTCTCGTGGGCCCCTGTGCAAGAATTCCCGTCGCTGGATGCACCAGTCTGAATCGAACCGGTAGAGATAGTGTGAGCCGCAGGCGCGGCTATGGACCTGACTCAAGAGATTCTCGTATTCTCGAAATACGAATACAAAGAATGTCTGAAATGTCCTGACGCAAAGAAGCTTATCCCGATAGATGAAGTTCCAGGGAATGTTGAAGTCGGATCTACTGTCGCTAGAACCATAATCTTGGAGCAAGTTGGTGCTGAACCAGAGGGTGTGTCGGTATGCTTCGAAGAGTAGATATGCCCCGTGCAAGAGGCCACTGTCTAAGCTCAGCATGCGCAAATGCTTGCGGCCGCTGGGAGAACTTCCAGGGTGCATTTCCCTTGCCCTCGTGCGGTAATGTTCCTCGAACTTCTGTGATTCGCGAGTCAGCCGAGATAGCTTACTGAGGGCTCCTAGATTTAACCGCTTTCCTGTACATCGTTCTGGTAGCGATGTAAAGAGCGGTTTCATAAACTGAATAGCTTGAGGTCTCGCCTGGCAATGCGGGTCGTACTCGTATCTCCGTAAGCGATATATCATGAGCGCCTGTGTAAGGCTCTGACTGCAAGACTGTTGGTAGAAATCCCGTCGAAGGGACTGGAGGATAGGCTGCTTATGTTCAAGGAAAACGCATAAAGCGTAGGGATCGGCGCGGATTAGGGACTGGACATCCTCAGGAGAGTCAATGGAAGCGAGGATTATAATCATCAGTTCTGCTGGGAGTTGATCGAAAAGGTTGCCGGGTCGCCATGATGCTAGTTGAGGTATGACGAGGTTTGGGAATGGGAATTGTAGCGTGACTGACGGTGGAGGCCTGGGGTTTTTATACCGGAGTGTTAAAGTTTAAACTTGCATAAGGTTTACTATTTTGAAAGCTTGTGGGGGGGAATTCTATCTTTTGCTATATCCGAATTGCTTGTGTTGGCTGCCTGGAGTATATTCTCAACCCTGGAAAGTGTCTCTATCGTGAGAAGGTTTTCATCGAAGGCGAAGTAGCTTTCCATGGCAATCTAGGTTTCACTGCCAAAGCATAAGGTTTCTTGACAGCACTTTGCTCCTGGACAGCCAATCAAGGGTTGGCCCTTGCCTAGTCACCAAAAGCTTGTATGAATCGTCAGCCTGTCAATCGCATTGGTTGCATTCCCTGTTGAAGAAAATAAGGGAAATCTAAGACGTAAAACTACAGATTTCGGGGCATTAGATAAAAAGTCCATATGCCGATTGAATAAGTATACCGGACATCGGTCTGATTACTGATATGCTTAGTGAGAATCCCGCACATAGTGCGGCATATCAGCAACGCGGCCTCTTACTCGTCTCACCGCGAGCTGACGGGGCTAATATGCATGGATGTATATGTAAGTGGAAAACGAAGTATTACTTAGTAAGGACTCGACCTACGACAGCAGCGACAAAACAATGAGCCTATTTAAAGACCCAGAGCTCCCTCCATAATAGTGGTATTAGGTCCTTGCATCGCCGCTGTCAACAAGACAAAACCTTTATAAAATGTCGACCCAAGAAACTGCCAAGACTTTGTTCCTTACTGCTGATGGGATCGACTTCGCCTATCGTCTCATGGGCAAGTCAAACAGTTCTCAGCCTCCACTTCTCATGCTCAATCATGTCCGATCCACCATCGATACTTGGGATCCTGAGTTGATCAACAACCTCACCGCATCAGGTCGACAGCTTATCACCTATGACTATGCTGGACTCGGTCATAGCAAAGGTCCCGTCGCGACAAGCATCAAGGGCTTTGCAACCAATCTCCTGGCGTTTCTCAACGTTCTACTCTTGAAGCTTAGTGTCAAGGAGGTTGATGTCTTGGGCTTCTCGATGGGAGGGTATATCGCGCAACAATTGGTGCTTGATTCGCCTGATATCGTTCGCAATTTGATCCTCGCTGGCACGGGTCCCAGTCTTGGACCTGGCTTGGTGCGCCCCATGAATGAGATCCAGTCTATTGTCTTCAGCCCGACTCCTGGCCCAGCCACCATCGGCGCTTTCTTTCCTCCCACTACAGGAGACGAAGGCGCTGCGTGGCTCAACAGGAGTACATCGTCACGGGCTGGTGTCGCTGGCAAGAATGGCGAACCCGAAATCGCGCTATTCACCACAGGAACGCCTCTTCTCAATCTAACTCAGGCGTACCTTACCTGGGATGCAGACCCACTTCCATATGCTCTTTTACAAACTATCCAGAAGGACGCGCTTGTTACTTGTGGCGACAACGATCTTATAGTCCCGACGCAGAATTCTTTCGTTCTTGCGAGACAACTCTCGAGAGCCAACTTTGTCATGCTTCCGGGTAGTGGCCATGGACACCTGTTCCAGTATGCAGAGTACTATGCAGGACTGGTCGGAAGCTTTTTAGATGGCGATCTTCCGTCTGCTCCGTTCTCGGCTGGGGCGGTGCACAGGCTGGAATAGCCGAGTCATGTTAAATCGTCCAACTATACTTAGTGCATGTCTTGTCCAATAGTGGAGGAAGCCTTTGTTTGTCACTCCATGTCGAGGGGAACGCGAATGTTATTCTATGCGCTTTTAAACCGAAGGACTTCTTATGAACTGGGGGTTTCATTTCTGGGAGTCAAGTCAAGTATCATGATTGGGGCTATCTATCGAGCAGCTCTGCTTCATATATTCTGTTCTTTGTCGAAGTGCATCTTAGAACTATCAAATCCGAAGCTTGCCACCTGGCCAGACTGTAGTCCAAGGACGATAGCGTCTTCACGGACCGCTTTCACTGGAAAGGTGACATCTGTAGAAGAAGTGAAAGATTGGCCCCATGCTTTCCGGTCGACTGAAGAAAACTCTTGGGGTAACCGGAGAATCTTGTTATTGCCTTGCCATATCCAACCAGCTTCAGCATCAAGATCACAAGGTTGTCTCTTAGCCAGGGTGCTGCACACGGCGGATTTATCGTATGACGGCAAGGGATGCCAGCCGCGTTTTACACTCAGGTGATGTCGGTCCTCTTTGGCCTTCCAATAAATCCCGAAAGCATCCCAGTCGACTATGAACCTTTCCAACATTTCTCCGCTTTCAACGTCCCATAACTGAGTCTCGAGCACGTTAATATCCCGACTTTGAACTGTTACCCTATTCCTGGTACAATAATGAAATCCCATTATTGGAAATGGCCCCGTGAGTAGTCGCTTCACCATAGTCATAGTCTTTGTCTCCCATATGAAGATGGTCCCCGACATGGTGGCGACACTCACGTATTCGGTGGCTGGTGAAAATACAGGCGATATAAATGGCTTTTCCTCGCCGACTGACAAGATTGATGTTTTGTGGCCTGCCTCTACCCAAACAGCCACGAAATGAGAAATACCATTCTTATCTGTGTTTTCGTATATCATGAGCTGTCCGTCTGGAGATGTGGTAACAGCATTCTCGATCGAATGGCGTTTTGTATGATCAACGATCATCGAATGTGGGAAACCAGGCACCACTTCGCCCGTGTCTAGTCGAAAGAGCCAAATTTGTGAAGACCATTCGCCATCAGCTTCCGTAACAACGCCGATTGATTGACTCGCGGAAATCAGCCCATACCATGCTTCCCAGTCCCGGTCCAGATCAATGTGAATGCGAGTTTCAAGCGTATGATATTCTAGAATGGCGAGACTTTGCTGAGACATGAGTACTACGACGGTGTGACCCTGGGGAAAGAATATCTGTGACCCTGGGGAAAGAATATGTCCGTGAATTGCACAGGGGAATCTTCCTGATAGTCGTTTGGAAAAGATTTGGTCAACTTTGTGTGCGTCCTGTCCCAGAATTCGATTATACCATCGCTTGAACAGAAAGCCAGAAGGTCTCCAGTAGGGGAACATGCAGCTTTTCTTATATTGGATTGACAAATTCGTCGGGTTCCTGCTTCAAGATTCAAGATTTCAGATGACTTGTCCGAGACTATGAGTACCGTGTTTGTAGTTTCGTCCACGAAATCAATAGATACTGTCATTTTCCCTGTCGGAATCACTTGTGTTGTTGCCTCTATACTCCATAGCCGTACATAATAGTCCTCTAGTGATGCAAATGTTGAGGAACCTCCGACGAAAGCTAGGCCAGTCGTTCGTTCTGCTCTTATACTACCCTTATCAATTCTCTGGATTGTCTGAGCCGAAGAACTGGCTATGTTGCACAGGTAGATGCAAGTCCCCCAGACTCCAACAGCGAGTATCCAGGGCTTCTTTGGATCCCAGTCAATCGAACACACGCCTTCTTCGTACTCAGCTTGGCTTAGCGTGACTTCAGTAGCTTTGTTCCACACTTTGAGACTTCCACCACTCTCAGCCGTAGCAATCTTTTCACCATCAGGTGATATCGCAATCGCTTGTACCCTCCGTTCATATTTTTTAACCTTTCTTCGTATCTGAGCTTTCAGATTCCACAAGAAGATTGCTCTAACAGTTGCGTCTCCACAAGTTGCGAGTATCAGTTGCCCACAAGGTGAGAAGGCAAGCGTTTGATCATAGAGGTCGTCTCCATAATCGAAAACTATATCTTCGAGGAGATAGTAGGTCTTTAAATCCCACAACTGTATACCAAAGTCTTTCGTTCTGGTTGCCAAAATATCATCACAAGGTGAGGCAACGATGGATACAATCCGCTTGCCATTGTCAGTTGATATTACTTCACCTTCGTTCGCGAGAGACCAAATTAAAATTGTCTTATCTTCAAGAAGAGATACGATGGTTATATTATCTCGGCATATGGCGACCATTTCAGCGTCGGACGAATGCTGAAACGCTGCCATCTCGAATCCAGTAGTCGTATCGAAAGCTCTTATTGCTCCTTCAAAGTCTGCGGAAACAAGGATCTTGCCATCCCTAGATATATCGAAGTTCCAAGATCTTCCATCGAATGTCATGAGCTCGGATCTTCACTCATCTCTCAAGTCTGGATACCGTGTAATCCATCGTGGAATAAGGTTACAGAATGTAACACGCACAATATTCTTACTAGGGCTGAAAATAAGTGCTAAGGAGCATATCTGAAGAGGGGTTTTGCTGATAGTTTCATTGTTGGCGAGAATGAAACGATAGGCGTCCTGAAGAAACATAGATAGTTTGGGTGACCCTTCAGGCTAGCGTGGAGATGTCAGCATTATCTGTATTCGAACGGCCGGGACTGGTTCCCTTACAGTAACCAATGACTGAAGTTGTTTTATGATTGTGACTGATCGATGGTAGTCTTCCAGTAGGCTCAAGACTTCGAGCCAGAATAGGAGCTTCGTAGAAAGGAATTTGTAAACTTCACCACTATCATCTAGATAGGTCAAAACGTTCTTCAAAGTACAAAGCTTTGACAGATGTCCTGACCAAAAGAGACATGCATATTTGATGTGCTGCGGTATGTACTCACCAACTCGAGCTTTTGGGATATCCGAGGCAAAGACACCTGGATGGCGCAGGTTGCACATGTCTTGGTGAAGACCGTCGTCAAGAATAGACATGCAGTTTTGCATGAGATACTCATGAATTTCCGCGACATCGATGGAGAACTCGCTTCCAGATCTCTACTTATTGAGAAGTAAATCACGAAAGGACATGTGGAAAAAGCTCACGGGTGATGTATCATCTGGAGGAACCTCAAGTATTGAGCCAAAGTCCAGCAATGTTTTGCGATCACCTGCCGCTTTCTTCATCAACCTTCCGATGGTGGCTACCGACGGTGGTTCAAAAGCGAGCGCGATGATTCCAAGGATGCGTCGATAGCTTGTGAAAATAGTGTCCTTCTCGTCCTGGAGAAGGTTTCTTGTGGGAAAGGTGAGCACTTTGCGGTATATCTCGTCAAGGCGTGCTTCCGGTGTGCCACGATCAGTTTTGCCCTCAATCAGTTTCAGCAGTCGCTGACCTTGTATGCTGTCATTATCCGTCATATCGAGAAATCTGCATGTTGTAGCGGCGTAGATGAAAAGACCGTCGGCCTTCTCGAGAAGTTGAGTGAGATGATCATCCGTACACCAACCCTGTGAGAGCTTACGCCGTCTCGTGATATCTTTGAGTTTGGATCCCATGAACAAGGTGATGTCATCAGGATCTTCATCGTTCATCAGAAGCGGAATCTTCTCCAACGTAAGTTTCTTTACTCTTAAGCGTGGATCATCTAAGATCTGCGAGATGTGCTTCTCGGGTCGACTGACAACCAAAACCCTCACATCCATTGGATGAAACCTTCCAAGGCTCGTTAGAAGTCCGAGCAGCTCCTCAGCTTCTGAGCTGTCTTCGCGCTCATCTAGTGAGTCGATGATGATGATTAGGCGCACCGCTACCGCAAGAGTCTTGCTGACTTGGTCGAATGGTTCAGAAATAAGGCATCGCATCTGCTCAAGAAGCTTCTTATGACCGACCATTGAATCACGAAAGATACTCTGGCTGATATGCTCTCCAATATCTGGGAATGACACCGCCAACGTCTTTGCAATGGTGGGAAACACATGCTTAACAGTATTACGCTCAGGATCTTCATGACTGAGGAAGAAGGTAGCTCCAAGAAACGTGCGGTCGTCAAGTCCCGGCTTACGGTCGAAGAATCTTATCCTATCATGTAGGCAGTTGGCAACTGTAGCCGCAATGGTCGATTTCCCAGTTCCGGCCATACCAGCAAGCCAGAATATGGGTTCTCCAGCATGGTTCTCTGCCCATGCCTGAATAGTGTTGAGAGCGTTGCGTTGCGTCCCGGGGAGACACTGTCCTTGCTTGTCTATAACACTAGAGTTGAAAACCGCGTTCTCGACGTATGGAATTTGGTCCAGAATTCTGATCTTCTTGCTTTCAGTAGTTATTGAGGGTACGATTAGAAGCAACCTACATTCATCTGGGCTGACATTCTGTTTTGTAGATCTACTACTTTGGACATCGCGTCGTTGATAGAGCGGTCAACAAGTTTGAACTCATTCCTCAGTGAACTGCTTGAAGCATTACTGACTGCTTGATCGATTTCAAGATTCTTTTCTTTAATGTCATTGATCATCTTTTTCCAGTTGTTAAGGGTAAACATGTCTCCTAGCATCCTGCGAGGCTTTCTGTGCGCATATTGAAGAACGATGCGGATATGATATTCGTAGGCAATAACATAGACCTCGACAACCCTTTCTTTGATGATTTCGAGGACCCGGGAATACTCGACAGACACTCTATTAACATATTAGCTTGCTAACGAAGAATATTAGACAGTACCACTTACGGCACGGATGTTTTAAACTTCTCGCTCAAGAGATCCTTCTCCAGGAGTGCGTATCGAACCATAATGAATGAGATTCGTTCAAAGCCATCAGCAGCGCTTTCATCCTGTTTGACAATATTGTCCAAAAACTGTTCAAGGTACAGGTCAGTCACATTCCATTCAGTTTTTGAGGTGAAATTTACTGGGAGCACGGCCATCACTCCAGTCCATGCAAGTGACGCCGCTGGCTCGGCTGCGGCTGCGGCCCCGATGACGCTCTTGAAGCTTGTCAAGAAGTCCAAGGTCTTTTTGACTTGTTCTCGGACAACAATATCTCGATCTCCGATGCGAAAGGCAAGACGAGCTGATTCTAGATCATCCAAGGCTGTTCGCGCAATCTTCTGGATCGGGGAGTCTTCTTGCTGGCTCGGAGGATTCACAAGAGAGTCCAGAAGGCTGGCAGACTCTGGTGATAAGATATCAGCTAAGCCCATAGCCTGACAATAATATGGGCTTACGTGCCATTTCTCAATAAACCATAACGCTCAGCTAAATAACTCCTATAAGACGCGAGTAGTTTCAAAAACTCTGGGTCTTCCTTAGCCTCAATGTAGGCCTGAGTCCAGAGAGACTTGTTGACAGGACGGCTCGTAACATCGTTGCGTTTAGATAGAGGTGGATCAGCGGGAGAGATTGGGCGCGGATCCTGTCTTGCGTTCTCGTCAATCTTTGGGCGGCGTGGTAGTGTATCGTAAGTAGCAAGGTTAGACAAGGTTCGAGCGCGAGCGGTTCTATTGCCTGGACTAGAGACAGGCTAGAGAAATTGGTTAGTGATTAGAATCTCGGATGTCAGCCTTTCTCTTTGGATGATATACCTTGGGCAGTGTTCGTTTGAACTGTTTTTTGATCTTCTTTTTCAATCGGCTGAATCCCAAGCCAGCACCTGGGCTTTGCTCCCTCTGGGTAGTTCCTAGTGGTGTCATTGCGATATTTCACTAGTGGTCGAGATAATAGAGCGCTAGCGACGGCCAGCTAACTACGTAGATTGTAATGTTGGAAGTATGAACAAGATGGCGAAGCGGGGTTGAGTAGAAAGGCAGTTGCACATTGACATTTGGGGCTCGACTGACCAGAGAAAGTGCATATGCATGGCTGCCCGACTAAAGCAAGACAACCGGGGCAGTGCAGCCTTCACAACAGTCTGATATTCAGTGCTTGAAAACAGACCTATAAGTGGTTGCAGCGGCGACTCCGGCCCGCTTGGCTGCATTGTGGCAGCTGATCATACCACATTAGGCTGTTAGCTGCTAAACAGTTCACAAGACCCTCCGTTTCTATCCTTATCACTGGCTGGGTGCAATAGAGATAATGACTTTAAAGTATAGATGTGTTGCCCTCAATTGATTGATGATAAACCTTATAGTACTACACTAATACTGCACAGACTTGCCTCCATCTGAGACTAATGCAATACCGTTTACATAGCTAGACATGGTGCTGCTAAGGAAGACAACAGCATCGGCAATTTCGTCAGGGTAGCAAAGTCTCCCGAGGGGATTCGCAAAGACAGGATCCTGCTCGTTGCCGCCTTTCAGCGTCTTGAGGTCTGCAATAAACGGCGTATCGGCAATGCCGGGGCAGACAGCGTTGACGCGTAGCCCCTCCGGCCCATGCTCCAGAGCCGCACTCCTAGTCATACCCAAGACAGCGTGCTTGGAGGCTACATACGGCATAACGTTAAGCATTGCCTGGAAACCGCAGACGCTAGCAAAGTTGATGATGCTACCGATCTGGGCCCTGCGCTTGTCCTGTCAGTATGCGCTTGTCAACTTGCGCGGCTGGCTCAGCATGGCGCGCGCTTCAGCCTGCATGCAAAGTGCCACCCCTCTGGTGTTGATATTCATAACACGGTCGAATTCGCTGGTCGGAACATAGGCTGACTTTTCGCGAGACTTGACGACGACTCCCGCAGCATTCGCAGCTGTAATAGTGTTAAATAACTTAGATGGTGATAAATACTTGGGAAATCTCACCATAATCAAGAGTCCCAAAGGTCTTGACTGCTTGGTCAACCATGTCGTTGACCGACGTCTCGTTCGTCACGTCCACAACGAGAGGCAAAACCTTTACGTCCGGAAATTCAGCCTGGATCAATTTCGCCGTCTCGAGAACCCCATCTTTGTTGACATCTGCCAAAGTGATGCCTTTGACTCCCGCTCGCACGTACGCAAGTGACAACTGTCGACCGATTCCTGAACCTGAATTGGTGCATGTAAGTTCCTCCGTCCGTGGATCTCTCTCAGGGTTCTTACCGGCTCCAGTAACAAGCGCGTTTCCATTCAAGATATTCATTTTTGCGTACTGTAGCCTTTTGTTTGCTGCCCGAATCTGACATCTAGGGCCTGTCATACCAGAGTTATATCCATAACCTATCAGCTTTAGGTTTCCGAGATTCCGTGCATTCTTCCATGCCGTGACAAGCCGTGGCCGTATTCCGATAGTCGCGAAGCCGGCGGCCGGAAGCACGATTCTTAATCATTGAGCCGAGAACGAGTTGGCGGGGTCTGTCGGGAGGTACAATCCGCGATTGCCACGCTGTGAAACCTCCACGGAGCGAAATCCGCGGCTCGGAAAGCACCTTTTCCATAAAATCCCAACACCCATTGACAGTATGTATCCGGGCTCATAATAAGCACAGGTTTCTATATGTCGCAGCTCGGAATGCACTCAGAACGTGATATCAAATAGCACAGCAACAGTGCAAGGGTTAAGCTTGACTAAGAAAGAAGCCGCCTTATGATCTTGCATTCAGTCTGGTATCTCTCAGCCCAGTCAAAGGAAATTACCTGAAACATTGTTGTTTTATTATCTAGGCTGAATCATAAAGAGACCATTATGAATGGCTGATACCTTGGCAAAACAAGTTAAAATCACATAGAGTGACCTCAGCGTGAGATATGCTAGAGATTTGACTTTTCCAATACATGTTAATTGCGACTGTGTAACTTTGAGCACCGATATCAAAGATAATCTTAAAGATAGAGTCTATTTACTTTGCTATCGTTTCTACCCTTCCTCGCGACCATGTTGCTGTCATCAATCTGTGCTAGTTTGCTTGATCTGCTGAGCCTGCGCATCAAAATCCAGGTACCAACTATATGAGCCAAGGATTTACATTAGTAGACTCAACTTGGACGGCAAAAGAAAGAGAACGGCTAGGCTGAGGTTTCACTCACGTCAAATCGGTATTCTCATCGGCGCTTCTCTCAGCCGCCGTGAATCCAGTGGCTAGCCAGGCGAAGTTCATATCTTCAGATTCGCATAAGCTCTGCCACTCAAAGTCTTCATATCGAGGTGTAGACAGTAGCTCAAAGTAATGAAGCCGGCTTCCAGGGTGCAGACTATTTAGGTCGCCGTCCACAGTTCCATTCTTATACGTGCTGGCACAATGGATTGCCCAGGCCATTCGGCGTAGCCAGGCGAGAGCGTGTTATTAGTAGACGCAGGCGATATGTGGCTTAGGGACGACATAACTTTAGTTCTGCGTCTGGAGCTTATGAATGAGGTCGCAAATATATTTAGTTACTATCTCGATGGCAGTTACAATGCTGCCATGACCAAGCGGAGAATTTGGGCCCATCATGGTGAAATAATTAGGCATGTCTGTTGCTGTAACGGAAAGGTAGGCATGAGGATTCTTCAACCATTCTTCTCGCAAATTGACACCATTCCGTCCAATAATTGGAAATCGCGGAGCACAGGATAGATCGAAACCGGTGGCGCATATGATTGCGTCGACTCTACTGGTGACGGTGCCATCTGAAGTGGTGAGTCCGTCGGCAGTGAAAGCATTGACCTTTCCCCAGATGACTTCGCATTTCGGGTGGCATAGAGCCTCGAGATAGCCGTTGCCTGGTGTCGTGCGTCGGCACCTGGAATGTATCGTCAGTCATGTATAGCGACTAGCAAATTTGAACTAACCCAACAGCAAAATCTGGGAGCAGAGCCTGGAGCAACTCTTCCTTTCCGCCAGCTCTCAGTTTGGATGTCATCTCAGCGATACCAAACTCTGGATAAATCTTGATAAGAATCAGACGGACAGTGCATTCAACTCTACACCTATTGCCTTTCCCATCACCGGTAACATCTTTTCCTGTTCCATTTCCGATATCCATCATGTCCAGCACGCTGCAATCTCCTTCCCGCCTTGGGCTACAGCTCCAAGGCTATGACCAGGTCATTGCTCTATCTCAGGGCAACATCAATGAGGCCTTGGAGCTTCATTTCATGCGCAACGAAAGGCTCCAGGAGTTGAAAGCCATGTTCCCAACATATGGACCCAGAGGAAACTTGTCCTCTCCTTCGGTGCACTTGATCGACAAGGAGAACGCCGACCAACCTCAATTTCCAAAGCGGGACGTATTACTGGTTCGAGCAGCCTAGCAATACGCCACAGTATGTTGAAGATGGCTCCCCTCTACCAGTTGACCTGCCAACACGTGTCAAAGTTGATGTGTCTGGCTGGTCCTTGGCGTTCTTTGTGGACTTTTCCTTCAAGAGAATGGCTACCGTTCCAGATAAGATCAGGAGCGCGATTGAGCTTCCGAGATCTTACAGTGTCAATCAGTTATTGAACGACTTTGGAACGCCTGAAATTCTCAACCTTGCTTGGGATCACTGCAATATCTCAGGTGTGCCAGAATCTCAAAAGGTTACGTGCCGGGCGCAAATACGCATGTTTCTGGGTACACATTTGGAATCAGTTCTTCTCAAGGAACCTGACCACAACATTCTTGGCTACACTGTCAAGATAGACGCACCGCCAGATGGAAAGACAGCAGAACAACGACTCAAGGAGGGGTCCGCGAAATTCCCCAGTTTCCCTCCAACCTCAGTCCGGTTGCAGACTATTAATTATCGACCTGATGGGAAAGAGGTTCAGACCGGAAGTGAAAGAAGCGACCATAATGCCTTTCTATTCACTGAAATGATGCAGTTCCGAAAGATGCCCAACCAGGACCTTCAGTGGTCAGGCGATTGGTTCTACAACGGGATCGGCGGTACCTTGGCAATGTCGCGAGGAATCTTCCTAGACCAATACCTAGCTGAAAAGCTCCCGCCGGCTATCGATGGTCCGTAGAAAATGGTCAATCACATTGGAAATAGTATCACCCAGTTCAGGGACCACATCCCCGAGTTCCAATCCAAAGGTGACCAGGAGTGGATTTTGAAGAGGCCGCGTGATGCCAACATGAACATGAACAGAGGTACTGTAGTTCAACTGGCATACCATGGAGTGGACGAAAACGTTGCGAAATGGGGCGATGGGAGGTCTTCATTAGTTGAGATGGAACATTATAGGCACAACAAGGCTGAACTCTCTTGTGCTGTCGAGCAGCAAGTTGGCACTATTAAGATCAACATAACAACGGAGCTCAGAACCAATACCCAACGTACAGTCAAGACCCAAGTTGGATCGTCAGATCTTCAATTCGCATGCAAGATTCAATGGAACGCCACCATCGAGCTAAGAGCAATTGAGACAGATACGAGGTTCCTAGTCCGCGTCGAGTCGAAGAAGCCAGTTGTCGACGTCAACATTATTAAAGACATTGCCAAGTCTTATGGCACCGGGGAGGAAGCTGAGCAGTGGAAGCAATGGGTTCAAGAGGGGGCGGAACGCCGGAAGAAGTCGCCTCTCAAAGAGAGGGTTGAAGGCCACATTGAGAATTATGGGCATTTGATAGGGAGCATGGCAAGTAATTTGGAGGAGGTGTTGAATCAGCAGGGGCGGTCTATCTTTCCTGGTGGCGGAACTTTCGATATGAAAAATCCAGTCTTTTCGAGGGAGGGATATTTACTAATAGGTCTTACTTTCAGGGAGGGAGAGTAACTTTTGTATACACCAATGAGAGCAGTGAAATACTCTATGTGTATCCGGCAACTAGATTGCATGAGCGAGAGACGCAAGGGCTTAATCATCAAAGTCCCCTCTAAGATCATTCGCAATCCAGATCAGCTCTCCTCCAATCTGCTCCAACCTCTCCATATCCCACATATATGCTCCGCTTGTCCAAAACTCATGCCCTCGGCCAGTATCACAACAAATTGTTTTGAGTGAATACTCCAGATCAGCACCCACCACCATCGGACAACTTCTGCGGTCTTTCTTTAGCGCCTGGTATTTCCAGTACAAAGACAGCATGTGCTCATCTTGTGAAATGCTACTCCGCTCTCGAAAACTATGTAGCTGGCGGTACCCTTGTGAGCAAATATATGCTATAAATTGGAGGCGATCACGTTGGGGTGAATCTATGAATGGCGGTATCTGCCAGTCATCGTTGTTAGCGAACCTGGGGAGAGAGGGTGGACCAGTATTTCGGTAGTGGATCTGATTCAAGATTTCCTCGTATTCTTTAAATAAGAAGACAAAGACTGCTTGAAATGCCCTGACGCATAGAAGCTTCTCGTTATAGATGAACTTCCAGGGGATATGGAATGAGTGTACACTATCCTCATAGCCATAATCTTGCACCAAGTTGGTACTGAAAAAGAGACTGTATCGGTATGTGTCGAATAGCAGATACGCCTTTTGTATCTCTTGGCTTTCTGCCTCCGACAATGGAAGTCTCATCGGAAGACTTGGAACTTCCTCTTCCGGAAGTTCCTCTTCCTCAGGGTCTCTGACTACTATTTTTTGTGTCATCTTCCAAGCCTTTTTCGAGTAGGAGACGGCGAAATCATCTGCTTCCCGAAGGACTCCATATAGTTCCGATAGGGCTCCTAGACTTAGCTTCGATACTGAAAGTGGTCTCGGTGATGATGTCAAGACTGGCTTAATCACCTGCTCAACTTCGGCCCGGTCCTGACACTGGAATCGACCCTCCATATGTCGTATGCGACACACCAAGGCTGCTTGTGTAAGGTTCTGTCCTGGGAGAAGATTATTAAGAGCTTGTCGGAAGGGTAGGAGGATACGCTGTTGGTTCTGAAGGAAGACGGATAAAATGTAGGGATGTGCTTGAATTACGGATTGTAAATCCACAGCGGACTCAAAAGCAGTGAGAATCATGGTTATGAGCTCTGGCGAAAGCTTCTCGAATTGGTTGCTGGGCGCCATGATGCTAGGTGGGGTATGCTTTTTTTTTTTTTTT